TGGCAGTTATCGAGCATATGTAGCAAGAGTTAGTGTGTATACCCAAAAGATAGCGACTAAAAAACCCGTGAACTCGTACGGTGCCGTACTCGGCGGCCACCGCCGTGCGTGCGCTATGCCGTACTCGTCGCTTGTATACCCAAAAGCTGGCGACTGGAAAACAAGTGAACTCGTTCGGTGCCGTACTCGGCGGCTGTCGCCGTGCGTGTGGTCTTCCGTACTCGTCGCTAGGCCTAAATTGTCATCTGGGCTCCGTGGATGGAGCGGCTTTGCTTTACGCCGCGCTGGCAGTGACGTACAGTACTGGGGGCCTTCTCGCTTTCGCGCTGCTGGTCAGTCCCAGACACGAAGGTTTGAGGCTCTCCGGCGCGGGCCGCGGCGCCCGAACACACGTGTGCTGGGCTGTACACGACTGTTTTCTCGTTCTTTTTTTCATCGGGCGCGTAAAAGCCGAAGTCCAAAGTCAACTCGTCGAACAGCGTTCACCCACACCTTCTTCAATTTCCGGTCCGTCGGACACTTGTGAAAAAGCACCTCCGTGTTACGCAGCGGGTTGTTTGAGCAGCCCACATTGCTACAAGTTGCACTCGGCATCTTTCGAGGAACAGCTGGGCAGTCTTGGGCGCACCGAGTTGCTCGCTAAAACGAGTCTTAAAGTCCTCACAAGACAATAAACAAAAGGCTATACCGAAGCTACACGGGCTACAGATAAAAGCAACTGCTAAACACGCCAATCACAAGCCGAAGTAGCGGTGGTAGCGGCTCAAAGAAGCGCACTCCGCGCAACGCCCGGACCGGAGGAAAAAAAGAGAACGATACGAACGTCACGGCCCAATGTTGCTTTAGCGATCGGCAACCCGCTGGCCGCCCGCTAAGGAGCAGCGGCTCGCGGCGGGTCGCATTTTTGTTATCGGCACTAGTTGAGAATACGGCGTCCTACGGACGTAATATTTTGGCTGGGGTCGTGTTTTGTGTCACTACAGCGATACCAGTAATTTATTTCATTTTGACTTTTGGCCGGAGTTGCCCTTTAAACAGTTAATGCTTTTGCATAAAAAAAGAAGAAAAAAAAAAAAAAAGAAAGCTTGGTTGACAAAAGGTATGCAACGGCGTTCGTGCGACGGCAGACTGAAAAGGGTTCCTGGTTTTCGCCCTTTACCTTTGACGGGAAGCGGCCAATGCTCGCGCGCAAAGAAAGGTAGCATTCGATTAGAATCATTAGATAATTGGATTTCTGCTTACTACAGAAGTAACGGTTATTTTTACGGTGACTTTGCAGGGTCACGTTGTCCTGATCGTAACCCCACGCCACGGGTTTGCATGTAGCAGATTGCAGCAAAGGTTTATAGTAACCACACTCGTCAAGGAAAGCTAACCGGTTTTATTAATGGTACTTCTAATATAAGTATAATAATAATATCATCACAAACTTCAACAAAAAATAAAAAGAAATCGCTGTAAAAAAAACGTTGTAAAAAAAACGCCGTTAAAATATTGTTTAAAGGGATACTCCACAGGTTTTTTTATTGCCTCCGATTTGCTTGAAATTTTTCTAAACTAATCGACAAACATTGCTAAAATAGTATCCCAAATATTATGTCGAAATATTTTTTTTTCGCGAAGTTATTGAATTTACAGTTTTGATCCTTACCGTGTTTTTCAAAATGAAAGTCTCTACTGGCAGCAATGAAAAAGTGACGTCGGTGGAAGGCAGGGATTCACTCTTTGGACTGTAGAATTTGTACCCAACTGATTCGAAGCAGTTTCATGGTGTCAAATCAATGCTTTGGAAGCTTGCTCTAGTACCCGCACTCCAGCACGGAACAAATGATTGGCATATTCTAAGAATTTTAGACTGCTTGCTCGACTGGCAAGCCTGCCTGCCACTGACGTCACGGCACTGAAAAGTGCGCGTATATTTGAATGTTGGTTTTTGCATCATTTTCATTTGCCGATTTCACAATACCTATTATGAATTTCGCGGTATTAAAGAGCATACTAGAAAGGCTAAAGGCCGGGGAGTCAGAAAATATAGTTAGTTGAGGTCGCTCAAAAAAATCTGTGGGGGGTACTCCACAAATTTTTTTCAACTACCTCAACTAACTATATTTTCTGACTCCCCGGCCTTTACTCCACAGATTTTTTTGAGCTACCTCAACTAACTATATTTTCTGACTCCCCGGCCTTTAGCCTTTCCAATATCCTATTTAGCATCGCGAAATTCATAATAGGTATTGTGAAATCGGCAAATAAAAATGGTGCAAAAACCAATATTCAAATATTCGCGCACTTTTCAGTGCCGTGACGTCAGTGGAAGGCAGGCTTGTCAGTCGGGCAAGCAGTCTAAAAAATAGAACATGCCAATCATTTGTTCCGTGCTGGAGCGCAGATACGGGAGCGAGCTTCCAAAGCACTCATTTGACACCAAGAAACTGCTTCAAATCCGTTGGGAACAACTTCTGTAGTCTAAAAAGTTAACCCCTGCCTTCCACTGACGTCATTTTTTCGTTGTTGCCAGTAGAGACTTTCAGTTTGAAAACCATGGTGAAGACCAAAACTGTAAATTCAATAACTTCGCGAAAAAACAATATTTTGACCTAGTATTCGGGACATTATTTGAGCAATGTTTGTTGGTTAGTTTAGCAAAATTTCAAGCAAATCGGAGACAATGAAAAAAACGGTGGAGTTATGACACACTCTATAGCTGCTTTTGGAGTTTTTTTTCCACATTACGAGTCGCACAGTCGGGACTCTTTCTTCTTTTCTCGAAACTGCTTCTTGGCATCTCGGTTTTTCCTTTGCAGTCCTGTCGCATTCTCATGCGATCCGAACCCTTTTGCACGTTCAACCGAAACCGTATAAGCGTCTGCCTTCCACGAGAACGCCAGAGTTCGACCCTAGACAGATGGGCAGTCTGTTGTGTCTGCGTCTACAGCATGCAAGACAATCCCCTACGAGGCTCCTCACGTTTGATAATGAGTCAGACCACTGATCAGTGATGAGGAGCTGTTGCGCGGTATTGTGTAAACCGTCTAACAATAAAAATAAAGGCGGGCCCAATGACGTCACGAGGGTCAGCGGCACGCCGGCACCAGGGGCGGCAGCCAGCCACGACACTCCCCCCCCCCCCCCCACCCCCCTCCCCTTCCTGAGCGCTGCACCCGGGGCGGTCCGCCGCCCCCCCCCCCCCCCCCCCCCCCCTTGTGACGCCACTGGACGAGCCCCCCCTCTCTTTTCCGTCGCCCCTGGACGTTGGACAAAGCTCGTTTCTGGGATGCGAGTGCCGGAAGTTACAAATACAGTCGTCAGAGTAAAGTAAAACGCTGCTCTAGAGGCACATACGGCTTCACGCACATTGCACTCGCAAATCACATCCACACGGCGTCGAATGGTGGGAAACGTGGGCTTGTTTTGTAAACGTCAGGGCCGCGTGTTGGCGCCGCCATCTTGACGTCACGTGACCCTGCCGCCATAGCCGACCTTCAGTTTCTCGCCGTTGCTTCGCGCTGTGTGCTGCACCGGCCACCACCGGAGCTTTGTTTTCGAGTTGTTTTACGTTCCGCGTTGAAATCGTGTTTTCTTTAGGTATTTTCAATATTTGGGGCTTTCATTTAATCATCTGATATGTATATTTTAACATAGCTCTTGTATTTTATTTATGGAATGGAATCGGACAGCGAACGAATCGACGATACAAGATTATGGCCTAAGTTTTAGAGACCATGTAAGTTCATCAAATTCTTTCGTTTTCGTCGCTAAGAAAGGGCAGTCAACACCATTGCGACATATGGAAATTTCAACTGACGCAGTAAGGCTATCGCAGTCGTGTCGTTTCCGTAAGTAAAAGCCGAACCGCATCGATAACGATACCTCCTCTCCCCTCCGGCGGCCTTGGACATGCGTCGTATCGTTATCGGGGCGAAAAAACGATCTACTGAAACTCTCTAATATATAAATAAAACGCGCGAGGGCTGCGAGGTCTGAAAAATTGAAGAAAAACTGCCCTGCAATCATGTTTAAGCGTCTACCTTTTTTGCCGTTTCCACATCTCTTGTGGTTCGGGCAAGGAGTAACTAAATATCAGTGCGTCATATTTTAACCAGGCGACGCGGAAGCCTCCTCCACCTACGGGGACGCCCCGTGATACCAACGCGCGCAATATGTGACGACATCGTGACGTTTTAGGTCCTGGCCTTTCTACTGGTCAGAGCCGCTAAACCTTCTTTTTAGTCGAAGTGGCGCGAGCTGTTTCAATTATTTATGAAAGTAATTTTTGTTCAGTATTTTAGAACAGAAAAGAACCAAGCGCCGTTTATAAAGTACGGAAACAAGAAATGACCAGTCGACATACCCGCCACCAAGCGGTGGAAAAGGCGCTGCATACTACCGGGTGTCCCAAATTGCGGTCAGCCTTTTTAAATCGACCGCAAAATTCGGTTTCTTAACCTATCGCGCTACGATTTTCTGCAGCGTTGCCCACAGATGGTGATAGTGGGGTCAGGCACTGACGCGGAAAGGCCCCGGATGTACGCGGCGGCGCTGCGGTCGTACGTGTTGAAGGATCCGACTGGTTCCAAGCGTTCCGAAGGCTTTCGGCGAGCAGGTTTGGCTTGCGGTCTGACTACATCGCACAGCGCGAAGTGTCATGCCGAATTAGTGTCTAGTCACGCAGCAAATGCAATGCAGCCAGCCCTGGTCACCCGCTTCATCCAGCACATACTTTAGTAGCGCCCTCTCAATCAAGCCGTCGACACGGAGTGCGGCAGCCGCGAGTGCTCGCCGAGCTCACTATCCCTCCTCTAGTTCGCGGCCACCCAAGCTAGGACCAGGGACGTCATGAACGAGGTTCCTTTTTCCTTGTTTTTGTAATTTTAATTCGCCGATAACTTTTAAAATAAAGCGAAATTCGAGAAAGTTTTACTAAGTTACTATGTTCAGTGCGCTCAGGTTCGGTCAAATTAAAAACCAGTCAAAAAGGAATGAAATGCAAAAACAGGTGCTGTGTATCTCTGTACAATACTTTATTTTCTAAGGAGTACAGCTATGGAATTAGTAAGAGCTAGCGCAGTAAATGTGCAAGTCACCAACAACTCTTGTACAACTTCCTTGAAGATCACCATCAATTTGTTAAGCAACACTGTGGTAAACAATCTCCATAAAACACTGGCATATAAAATAATGCATATAGTTGAAATGTACTTGATATGCACACTTTGAAGAAAAAGCACAGCCCTCCAAAAAATAAAAATAAAATAGAGAGAAAGGGAAAGAAAAGGCCACTGTGCTCATGATCCCATACTGCAAACTGGCAGTGTCCTCCGAACAATGCAACTAAAATAAAACCAAAATAAACGGAGACAATTTAATTAACACAATGAACCCCAACTGTAGCAGTAATCTGAAGCACATACAAAAGTTAAAATGGACAGCAGATGATGTGCTCTCATCTGTTTACGACAGCCCCATGCTGTATACCTTCGGAGATAACGGGGCTGACTGAATAATTTTGGCTCAGTTTCAAGGCTAACAGCCAAGGAGAAAGACAGCAACCGCTAAAAAAAGGAATAAAGGGGATCATAAACACTCATAAATACTTTGCGGTCAAGACATGTCCAACCTCCACATTTTGAACTTACCAGCAGCTGAAGCACGACTGACAACTGGAACTCTCGGGGCAAACAAAACAAACACTCTCCGAACACTCGAGGTGTTTCCTCTACATGCGACCCAGAAACAGTCAGGCGACCTGAGACCCATAGGCTAGGCCTACACGACGTTAGAATGATGAGGCTACAATCCATCACCGGTGAGGCCTTTGGTGTCGCTCCTAAGCTAAACGGTGCGATGTTGCTCGACTTGTCTGCTGTGAAGTTGTGATGTCTGAGGAAGCGACCGGACTGTCCTTTCGGATTTGAAACTATGTTCACGAGGTACGCCTAACTTTTTGCTACGTAAAAACACGCAGACGGTTCTACGTCCTAGACGAAAGGTAAATATTCAAAATGCTCTAAAAGATTCGGGCGGGATGTAAATGCAGTGTTCTGTGTTGACGGATTATCCTGGGGGCAGCTAACCCTCCCCTTTTTGCTAGAGAAACTTTCTAGGCTGCAGATCGATTAGAGGACGAGCGGGGTAAAGAAATCCAAGATGGCTTCTGCCCGGCCTTGCCATCAAAGCTTGACGAAACATTGAAACGGGAGAACCGCGTTGACATTCCGTTTCCAAGAGAAAGCAACCGCGCGCTTGGGACGGGGTTATCTCGTCTACCGAGAGAACTACCCTTGTTGACCTCAATCTGCCTGCTCTTCAGATACTGCCCGCTCTTCCTGTCACAAACAGCTTATCAAAGGACGCCCTGTAACGTAATACCAACAGGCAGCCAGATAAAAAAAAAGCAAAAAAAAAAGATGACAACCCAGCCGCCACCCCGGCGTGCAAAACGAGTTTAGGGTCCCTTAGAAGCGTGTCTCAGATAGCACTTGCGAGAAAGGGGACAGAATTGTTTTGGCATGCATGCAAAAACAGCAAGTAGGCGCTTTGCTTTTTAACGAGTTCCAAAAGGTAGCTAAGCAATGCAGCTGATGAATAAAAAGAGGAAATTCATTGCAGACCTGAAATTTATGCAAAACAAATTAGGAAACAAACACTGTCACGGAGTGCTTCAACTTTCTTCACGAGGGTAAGGGGGGGGGGGGGGGGGGAATGTACACAGAGTCTGACGTATAAGGCGGCGCTGGAATGTACACGAGGACCAGGGCTGGGCAACCCCAGAGTAAATATATACGTTATATATATATATATATTTTTAGAGTACCATACTTGATGTAACACCTTCCTCCGGCCGTAACAACTACGGCGAGAGGCTGTGGTCCGGCCTTCGAGGCAATTATGACGATAGTACACCGATACAACAATACAATTGGAAAAGCGAACGGTCTTGAGGCAATGCAGGTGTATACTTTGCGGGGCAACCCTACGATGAGGGAATGCTGGCAGCAAAGGCGTCAACAAAAAAAAGAATGTGCGCACCAGAGGACGAAGGGTCCCCCTCGGGATCCTACCGGCCGATCGTATGCACCTTCAAAACGTGGCGAAAAGCAACTTCTGGCTGTCCTCCAAACGCCAAGAGCAGACACTGCTATGGATGGGTTCCTATCCTGAGCAACTGTCGTACGCTACACTTTCTGCTAACAAACATTAAAACTCTCAACCTCCAAAACTCCAAACGTCCACTTCGTCGTTTGAGATAACTCGCGCAAATACTGTGCCCCGTGGACCACAACAATTTACAGGAGGGAGAGGCGCCATTGAGGGCTCGCCTGCTCCCAACGCTGGTCCCAGCTCGGCTATGGGCGGCGACAGGGGGTGCATTGGAAGATGGGGAGGCCGTCTAGACACAGTCCTCCAATGACATCAGCAGCGGGTTGACATACTCGAAACCTTCGAATTCTGACTGGTCAATCTTCGAGATGAGTCTCCTGGAAGGAAAAGAGGAAGCATAGATCGAATTAGAGTAGCTTCTGACAGACACAGAAGAAAGAGTGCATCGGCATCGCCTAAATCGGTGTAACATTATGATAGTGCCACATCAGCTTGCTTACATTTCAAAATATTAACTTCTCTTTTCGCTCCTGAAAGATTGGGTTGGCTTCCTTATCTGCAAAAGGTGAGTCTACACCTAGTTTATAAATGGTGACATAGAGGAATGACATTACTACACACCCCGACAACTTTTTTAACAATGCAGTGGAAGGTACGGGCACGCGTTCCCTCTCCCAATTTGAGCACTGAATAAAGCTGTGCGCGGGCTCTCCTCCTCTCCCTGGGAATGCCAAAAAAAGTTGTCGCGGAGTATAAGTTGGAAGTTAATGTGGATTTCCCTCGTCGAATCAAAAATGATCAAGGTCCATAGGCTGCATGCAACAGGGTCATATGGGTTATTTTCTAGTCTCCCTAAAATTTTGCTTTTCACCAGAACCAGATGGTCTTCAAAATCAACAAACTATGCAGAAGTTAGGCAAAATGGCAAATCATGACCTAGTCCAAATCACGATTTGCCTTTTTGCACATCATGATTGTAAATCATGGCAAAATGGCAAACCATGGCCAAATCATGATTTGCCGAAATGGCAAATCATGGCTTGAAACCTTACCAACTGATACGGTTGTTTTGATACTAAATGTAGTTTTCCATTCTCACTACCCATTTGTTCGTGGTGCTCTACATTCCAACACTAATTTGGCACATGGGCAAGGAAGAGACAGACCAGAAGCCAAAACTACTGGTCGTTATTGGAATGGTGGACAAAGCAATATATTATACGAGCATTTTTGACTCTTAGTTCCTTCGTATAACCTTCCATGCTTTGACCACTCGTACAAGTTGTGCCCTGCATTTTGATGACAGACGCTGGAACTCATTCGCCTACCCCCTGTGACTAGACGATACCCGTAGGCTGGTTTCCATAGTACCTCTTCCCTATCATATATACAAATTGCAGAAACAGCAATTGTATGTTCCTGCTAAAGGCAATCACAATCTGAGATGCACATCTGCCATATCTACTATAAGAAAGTTCACTATAGGGCTGAAACTTTCTCCAAATGTAGTCATATTTTTACTCGAAGACAACGGGAGGCTCGGAGGAAAGTTTACAAGAGGCAGCTTGAGCAGCTCCCCAATCTTTTTTAATACCATGGGGGAGTGCCAACCGACGGGCCGCTCAATGCTGTATCACAGAGCAGCGCGGCAAACTGAGCAGAAATAAAGCCGTACGCGCAGATCGCATTTGTATGTGAGGATCACCTGCCAGGATTTTCTGCTGACTGCACACAGCTCCTGCGGTGAACAGCTCTACAAACAGGTAAGGAACAGGGGCTGTGCGCAGCCAGCAGAACAACCTAGCGAACAACGCTCGTGCATCTATTTTATTTGGCCTCAAAGGTATCTAGCAACACATTAAGTGAGCAGGAAAGCAAGGAAGTGGGAAAAGTGCACGAATGCGCTTTGTGCACGCGCTCTCATTCCCTCTCACGTCGCCGCAGCACTCCACGATGCGGCACCGATCGGGCTGCCAATCGATGCTCCCGCAATATTATTAAAAAATCGGACAGCCAAACGTGTGTTTAGGACGCGGCCGAGTCTTGGGTCGCAAGAACGAGACGAGTCAGTTCTATTTTTGGACTTCCGAGTGAATTCCGAAACGTGGCTGCAACACAGCCGTCGATGCCACTCTCTTGGTACAGTAAGAGCGACAGATAATTCGGCAGACAAGAGAGCGACCTCGCGTGCCTTGGGACAGGGTGCCGGCCCTGCTATCTCGCCCGTTGTGACGTACGGGACGAGTGTGCGCGATAACCTCGAGTTGCATCGGCCGGTGACAACAATGGAGGGGGGTCGCCCGAGACTACTCCAGCACCGGCGCGACGCACGAATGTGCAGACAAAAAGAAAACAAGCGCAACATGTCCCACCCTTTAATATGCATTTCTGCCGATGCGCAGATACAGGAAACCTATCTGCTGAATCGAGGGCTTCGAGTGTGGAGTGACTAAAACTCCCCTCTGGACTCTTGACAGTGCAACAGAGTGCCCCCATGGCCCCAGTCTCGTAAAAGACGCTGTGAGCATTTCGAGTATCCTGGAGCTGCCCAAATTGGTAAAGGGGAAAACTGTGGTACTGCTCGACGTCAATGCGGAAGTAGCGTGTTGCAAGAATGGGGTCACACAAAGTCCGTCACACAGAAAAATACTAGATGTCACTGGGACTCGTGGGCCCCAGTCAATCGAAAATCGGCAAGGAGCAAAATCAGCTGGTCCATCCAGAGTCCCTTCTCAACCACGATCGTGCTTCTAATTGCGTCGAGGCACCTGACACCAAGACCCCAGATTCCCGGGCACAATGCCAATCTGCTCCAACACACGTTTACCGATGACGCACACTTTTGATTTGAAGCAATGACCACCATATTCAGTGATATGATTTGCAGAACCAGTGCCACAGTTCCTCTCTAAGAAAGTTAATTTATTCCTGTATTATTTCGTAACCTTAGAAACCGAAGCAAATTTATTATCAGCCGATATAGACTTACAAGGCCACTCTTGCCTTCACCCTAAATTTTTTTGTTTCAACCTTTCCTTCGAGACCTCCAGTACAAATAAAACAAAAGTATCACGAGAAAACTAAACCCACAAAGTTATTAATCCATTACTGCCCCTTCAACAGACTCTTGAAAGAGGCTAACAAAATACTTGCAACCGATTTTTCTTCATTCGAGAATCTTTTAGCACGTCTGTCAAGTTTTGACAAGTAGGCAGTTCTGCGAGACCGACCTTGAACTGGTGTGCCAGAAACAGCAATCTCGAGTTGTTCCGATTTCTGCGGGTTTTCCCGCCGATTTCAGCACAAGGTAAACGGAAATGGAGGAGTCTTCTTTTTTTTGTGTGCATGCTTATCTCATAAAATGTTTACGCCATATCCTATCTCGTTCCCAGTTCACTGCTGACTGCCATTATACTATTTCAGACTTTTTTTGGGTTGCTACCACAGTGAATAGCTTTCCGCAACATGCGGGTTAATTAATTGCCTGGGATAGCATATCGAACACTGCCCAGTGTGGGAAAAGTTATAAGAAATGCGGCACAACTAAGCTGTCGTTACAAGCCCACTGGATTTCGCATGAAGTACAAGCTCAGAATGGGGTAAGGAAAGGAAAAGACTCAGAAAAAACAACAACTTCCTTTGATACTTTGCCCAGCCAACTGATGCAGAATGCGTAGTGTATTTGTGTCAAACTGCTTGAGTCTATATGGATTTATTTCGCCTGTACTGCCCACTTCCCTTTTGAAGCAACCTAAGGATGCCGACACAAACACACGATGCATTTTGCGTCAGACGGCTTTATCCGAAGTATTAAAGGGACACTGACAGGGTATTTATGCTCGCCGAGGTTTTTAGTTGTACGTGACATATGAGAGCCCAACTATCCAGAATAGAATTTGCGGCTCGAAATTCGGTTTCTTTCCGCCCGGAAACCGCCGATCGAGAACTGGCCAGTTTGAGTGTCACTCACTCTCTTTTCCGTGGTGGTCACGGGCTGTTTTCTAAGGTTTCGACACGACCACCAAATTTAATCAAAGTCGTGGGTCACTGAAGGCACACAATCAATACTAAAAACAGAAAAAATATGCAACCCATTTTTTGTGGCTTCCAAAAAGCTGCAAATACGTTGATTGAAAAAAAAAAAAAAAAGGTTGCACAGGCAACCAAAAACATTCTGTGCATTCACTGCATAATTCTCAACATGGTATCGTTTCGCGTTTCGTGGGACTCATGGGTTGCAGCGGACGACGGGCGTGGGACCTCTACTTCAGAACTGTCGTTCACGGTACCGGCGAATTTTGTCTTCCTTCAAAAAAGAAATTTTGGACCGATCAAAAGAATTTATATTCATCCTGTACGACACGCCCGACCAGCAAAACGATTGCACGAAGACGTCGCCGAGCCGTCGTCCCTTCTCGCGGCTGAAGACATTGCTCGCTCAAACGTCAAGCATGAAGTGCGTACATTGTGCTAAATACGCATGCCTATGGTTTCTTTACTTGGTGCGAATGTGGCCAATGCGTGGTGCTGCCCGACTTCAAGCCGGGAGTGCATGTACTGGAGGGAAATCGGCAGCAAACTTTCCAACATACAGTCGACCGGATGCATTACTACGAACGAAAGAGTTCCTTCAGTAGCTCAGAGGAAAGATGTCCGCTTCACATGCAGCGGGCACGGGTTCAATCCTTAGTGTGGGCGTACCATTTTTTTTTTCTTTTCAAACATTATGTGATGTTTACATTTTTTCTTTTTTTACAATTACCACCGAAATAAAAAAAAAAAAAAATGTGGTGGACGATACATTGAACTAAATGGTATGGGATTCCATTTTTGACACCTCTGCCACACAATGCCATTTTCCGATGTGAGGCAGCTCTTCACGCAACATCTTGAAAGTATTCTTTTCGGAGGAGATCATGGAAATTCACCAGGGGCACTCACTACTAATTGCCAACACTTAAATGTACAAAACAACTAATCTTGAAGTACAGAACAGCGAGCGGAACAAACATAACTGCAAAGGAATCGCACGGCGACACCCAAAAGAAAAAAAAACAAAAATGCACAGTCGGGTGTAGCCACGCAACTTCCGCCAAGCACTCTCTCCTCTCCACATCTCCGTGCGGTGCGTGGGTTTCGGTTTCAGTTTCGAGCAGTTGAGTTTTTCTGCTTTATTAAAAAAATATGTGACTCCGTAGCAAAATATTAATCGGGTAGTATTCCGACACCACCATAATGAATCGCCTGGCAAAAAATGAGGAAAAATTTTTGGGGGGTGTCAGTGTCCCCTTAAGGTAAGCTAAAATTTTTGTGACTGACCTACGACAAGCCATTACAGATCTCTTTGTAGTACAAACGCTCGACTAACGGCAGAGAC